GTTGAGTTTCCCCACCTGTGAAAGGAGAGGATCTGCTACTATGGCCTTGGATGTCGCTTTCCATACCCACCCAAGGCTCACTCTGGAGACCCCCTCTGGGAGAGACCCTCCTAGCCTGGGAGATCCTGGGAGGAATTGGTGGAAAGAAGGAGTCCCCATCCTTGCAAGGATGGGGACTCCTTCTTTCCACCAACTCTCTCACCTCCGATACTTTGCTCCCCTCCTCATGTGCCAACCACTGACCCCCTCTGATGCCAATTCTTAGAAGGAGCCCTCCCTGACCACCCCCGGGTGGGTCCCCTCTTTCCCCATCAGACCTCATGCAGCCCTTTGCCACATTCTAGAGCGCTTACCAGGTCATGGCGGCATTACTATCATCCACAATCGTGTCTCATTGTCCTCCTAGACTGGCAGCCCCAGGAGGGCAGGACCTTGCCTACATCTAGCCTAAACCCAGGCCCCAGCTAGGAGCTGAATGGCCCCTAGGGCCCTGCCTCTCCTCAGCTGTCTAAGGTGATGACCAGACTGCCCTGCCCCACTCAGGAATTCTGAGGAGCCAGAGGAAGACTTCAATCAGCAGGCATTATTTAAGCCCCTACTGTATACCTAAAGTATACCTACTGTAAACCTAAAGATACAATTCTAATGGGGGAGATGGACAATAGAAATCAGGGTGCTTGGAGACACCCCAAAACAGGGGAGGAAGAATTGGGAAAGGCCAGATGTCTGAGCAGCGTTCAGAGCAGGCCTGGAGTCCGACCCTCTGGGGACAGAGGGCAATAAGGAAGATGAAGGAAAAGAAGAGAAGAATGGGGGGGAGGGGAGAAAGGGGAGGAAGGAAGAGGGCTGGAGGCCCACATGGGACAGCAGCAGAGCCAAGCCCGGAGCCCCCAAACCCAAATGCTCGTCCCCCTCCAACACACCGCCCTGGACGCAGAAGCACAAAGTGGTGCTGCATGAGGGCCTGAGGGGGCCGGGAGCAGGGCTGATGCTGGCATTTAAGGCTTGGACCACTCACGCTCCAAGTGACCAGGCTGGTCTCTCTTCCCTACAGGAAGTGTACATACTAAGAGGCCACTAAAGCCCAGTGCTCCATGGCTCCCATCCCTATCCCGCCCTCACCTTAGCCAAAGGCCTGCACTCTGTCAGCAGCCTTGTCTCCTCTCCCGTTTTCCTTCCTCTTGTCCTGTCCTGGCATCCCTCCCTTCCTGCCTGCTGCCCCCGGCCTACCGGCCCCTTCTCCCCTCCCGAGGACGCTCTGGTGACTCTGAGCACAGTCCCCTCCCACGCCCCTCCCAGCTGCCTTCCTAGACCCACTGGAGCACTTGAGAGCATGAGGGGCTAGGAAGCCCAGTAGTTCCTGGCCCTTCAGGCCACCCCACTTTGTCTTCCTAGCCCCCCTAACCTGGCCCTCCAAGCCCCCCAACTTGTCTCCCCCCCCCCCCCCCCCCTGCCCCCCCCGCCCCCCCCAACCTGGCCTTCCAGGCCCCCCCAACTTGTCTTCCTAG